TCCATCTCCAAATCCAAAACCTTGGAAACCCATTCTATTCTCTGGCTCAGGTTCCTGGCCTTGTGGTCTGAAACAAGACATACTGCAACAATTACGCCAAGGACATCTATGTAAAACAAAATGTTGAGTCAGAGCAAGATATTTTCCTTGTGGCCAGATCTCTCAAAATCATTGGAAAAGATGATAACAGCTGTGTTGTTTGTGTTGTTCATCATCAGAAGACAAGAGAACTGCTGATGTTGTCTTCCTTTCCATGAAGATCATGGGGCTGCCTTGAGGTGAACCTCTATGAACACAGAGGTAGGATGTTCTTGGAAGTAATAGGCAACTACTCAAAATAGACAAGAGATCAAATAACTGTATGGTCACACATTCAAAGCAGTAAATAAATTGCTAAAGGAGATCTTTTTAACATGTTGAATAGCAGACATACAATCCCTTTACATACCCATCCTCCATCAGAATTATCTTCGGGGTCTCTGATTCTTTCTGGAAAGAAGGCCTGAACTGTCCCCATCCACCACCACTCTCCTCTACCTGGTCAAGCTCATCCTCACTTTGAACAACTTCTCCTTTAACTCTTCTCACTTTCCTCAGGTCAAAGGTGGGCCCCAGTTATGCCTGTCTCTTTGTGGGGAATGTGGAACATTCCTTGTTCCGAATCTACTCCAGACCCCACCAACAACTCTTTCTCCAGCATGTCAATGATGTCATCAGTGTGAAAAAATGTATCAATTTTGCTTCCAACTTCAACTCTTATCTTCACCTGATCCATCTCTGACTCCAGCCTTCCTTTTCCTCGACATCGTGGGTTTCCATTTCTCAAGTTAGGTTGCCTGCCAATATATACTACAAACCCACTGACACCCACAGCTACCTGGACTATACATCCTCATACCCTTCTTCCTGTGAAGACTCCATTCCATTCTCCAAGTTCCTCCGGCTCCCTCGCATCTGTTGTGATGATGCTGCCTTCCGCAGGTGGGCCCCCGAAATGTCCATCTTCCTTCGTCAACCGGGAATACCCCACCACTGTGGTTGACAGACCCCTTAGCTATGTCAATTTCCTGCACTTCTGCCCTCACCCCTTCTCTTTCATCCCACAATGACAGGATCTCCTAGTCTTCGCTTTTCACCCCAGTACCATCCACATCCAAAGGATAATAGATAAACATTTTTGCCACCTCTAGCAGGATGCCACCACTCGACACATATTCCCCATTCCTGGTCCACTCCTCTTCACTCCCAACACCTCTATGCTACCTTCCCTTGTAATAGCAGAGGATATAACACCTGCCCTTTTCCCTTCTCCCTCTTACTATCCAAGGCCTGGACCTTCCAGGTGAAGCAGTGATTCATCTGCACTTCACTCAGTGTAGTCGACTGTATTCACTGCTCACAGTGCAGTCTCCTCTACATTGTGGAGAAAAAATGCAGACTAGATGACTGCTTTGCAGAACACCTACTTTCTGCCTGGAAAGACAGCTCTGAGCTTCCTGCTGCCTGTCTCTTCAACATGCCATCGTGTTCTCACGCCAACATTTCTGTCCTGAGCTTGCAGCTGGTGCAAGCTGGTGGTACAGCACTTAGGGATTTTCACTTTTCACTTAGGGATCTTGCAGCCTTCAGGACTCAATATGGAGTTCAATAATTTTAGAGTTTCAACACTCCGCTTGCATATCTTTTACCCACCCCAGATCCCAGGTCCTGTCACACTTAGGTTGCTTTCAACATTGCCAACTTATTTTCACCTGGTCATACTCCCCAGTAACACCTCAACGTCTTTGTTCTTGTCTCTCTCTCTCTCTCCCCCTGCCCATGCTCCCTATCCACCTATCAGGTGACTCCTTTGCCCCCATACCCCTTGTCATGAAGAAAAATACCACGTTTTCCAAAATGCTATCAGTTCTGGAGAAGGGTCACTGGATTCGAAACGTTAAACTCTGTTTTCTCTCCACAAATGCTGCCACACCTGCTGAGTTTCTCCATGCAATTTCTGTTTTAGTTTCACCTATCAATTCTCCTTCTCTCAGAAGGATCCAAGAGATCCCATGAAGGTATAAAATTCAAAAGAAGCTATTCAGGTAGACCAGTGAAACCATTACAGCAATTGCTCTGGTAAAAAAGAAGTTGAGCCGTGTTCTTGATGCGATGTATAATTTAATGGGTAGAATCAGAGCCTATGGGGTAGATATCGTCTCAAGGGTTCAGTCTGATTTTGTAATGATTGTAATAAGATAGTTTATATCAGCCCAAGAATTGAAGCAATGTCACATGTTCTTGCTCTCTCTTGCAGCCTTGTGGAAAGATGAAGCCACAGTAAGATGTTTTTTCTCAATAAAGTTAACGTCTTTCTTCCCTCAGAAAACTATTAAAATATATTTTTGCAGCACAAGGAAATCAAAAATATTGTAGACCAAATTTTAATAAGGATTTAATTCAATTTAGAAGATATGAATTTTCCAAACAAAGAATTTTTTAAAAACCTTTCTAAATGCTGTACTAACTGCAATGTGCAAATTAATTTAGCATCACTGATTCTCTGCCATTCAGGAAGCATGTTAGCCTCATAACTGCATAACATCTGTAGGTTTTATTTCGCAATTTAACATATAATTCTGACTTGTACAAAATATATGTGTCAAATATTTGACTTGCTTATATCTTATCAGTTTCCCCAGGCAATAATTGATAAGACATTCAAATGTATTAAAGCAATGCTTTTCATGCAACATTCAAGAAATGTCCATCCATTATTTTAACTACAGTGAATAGTTTTATCTCTAATGATGCATGTTAACTTCATGAATAGTTCTGTGAAAGATTATGAAGGAAATATACACATAAAGCAAAGTCATGCTATCAATGTATCTGTTAGCTACACTGATTAGACAATAGACAAGCAACAACACCAGCCAGCAAAATTTGTTGAATTGCAGTCTATCCATCACATAGATGAAGATGGTGGGAACATCCAGCAGCTGTTGTAGTCATGAGTAGGTAACTATAATTTAGCATCTTTCAATTAGAATTAACTTTGAATCAGAGTATTTCTGCAGTTCCAGCATGTTGCATTTGGCTACAATCACCGAGAGCCACAGGTGCAGCCAGAGGCTCAATGTGGAAGGAATCCACCTACACAATGACAGCTTAGCAGCAATGAATATCTTTGTATTTTTTTAATCTCCAGAGGGTACCTTCATCCTGAAGTGCCTTCTAATTCATCCAGCTACATTGGCAGATTCCACCCACTGGCATTGGGCTGCCAATATTTCAGTACTGATGTGCCTCCAATTTACCATCACACATTGAGAATTCTTGCTATGCTTAATTGGATAGAGGGATGCCTCCTCAGAAATCACTTCCATGGAATGGCCACTCAGCAGTTCCAGCTTCCGGACCCAGAATTTAGCCCAGCATCAAGATCGTGGCTCTGGAATGAAAACCTAGCTTATTGGGTCATTCAGACATAGAGGGAGATCATCCAGTTCATAGCTCTCTGTCATGAGCCAGCCGACAGGCCATTCCATTCCAGCCCTGAAACTTTCTCTCCCTCAAGTGCTTATCCAGTGTACTTTTGAAACCTGCAATGCCTTTACCCATGTAAGCAGCAAGTTCCGCACCATTATTATTCAGAGTTAAAAACATTCTTCCTCACATATCTCCCTTGCATCTCTTACCTAAAATTCTTTAAATCTGTGTTCCAGTCCTTGTACCATCTGTTATTATGAACTATTTTTATTTATCTGTCTTATACAAACTTGTCATCATCTTGTACACCTCAATCAAACTTCCCGTCAAACCTTTTAGCTCTATGGAGAAGAATCTGAGCTGCTTCAACCTCATGTCTAGCTAAATTCCTTCATTCCTGGATTTAACCCTCTGAATTTCAGCCAAACCACACAAAATACCCTGGAATTTGAAGTGCAAGTTGAATTCAGCACTAATCGAGATTCTGTGATCTTTGCTCTATTTTTAAAAAAAATTGCTGGAAGTCAACCCCACCTACAAAGCCGCTACCTCTCCAGTTCAAACCAATCATCGTAGGAAGTTTCCACCAACTGAACCTATTTGCAACATTCAAAGAGGTTCTTAAAATTAAGCTGTTTTTCTTTTAAGTTTGTGCATGCCAATATGTACATATTAAAAGGCTTTTATGTCTTGTTTTAATTTTACAAGAATTAGGTCATTGAGAAATTACACAAATAACTGGTAAATGGCTCTGAACGTTTTTTAATAATAATTTTCAAATATTTAAGATTAAATGGCTGACCAGAAACCATCACAAAATGCTTAAATTTTTTTTTGGCAATCTTTTTCTTAGTTATATACCAGAATACCACTGGTAAACATCTCAAGGAATAATTCTAAGAATTTTTTTTTCAAAGAAAAATTTCATTCTCAGTGCCCCATTAAACTGGTTCATGGCAAAATACCAATGACTTTGAATGAAAACTTGAGAAAAAAAAACTTCCCAAAAATAACAGAACTTTAAGCATCACCAATTATGCTGAAAGGGGAGACCACTGTATACTTCCAAAAATTGACATTAGTCCAAAATAACTCATAGCAAATGCTTTGAGCACATCTGTACTAATTGACAGTTGAACTTCGAATGAGTTCTCCTCAGTTATGCAGACCTATTTTAAAGTTATGTTTGAACCAAAGTTGTACCAGCATACATCAAATACAGACTTGTCACAAAATAACCACAAAAGTAAAACAATTGCTCTGTTGTAGTAAACACTATTGTGCTGCTAAAGCTCTTTTTTTAATTGCTAAGAAGCAACATGAAAAAAAACAGTTACACTTCTGTTTGCCTCTAAAGATCTGTCACCAAGACCTTTTCAAAAATATACATCTAAACACTGAAGTTCATCAAGATGCCACAGAGAAACTGAACTTTATTTTAAAAAACATTACCAATTTAGAAAAAAAAACATTAACAAAACAAAAAAAAAATCAACTGAAAGCATGGATTACTTCAAAATTCATTATACCTATGTCATCAAGATATTTTTTGGATTTCCAATTGCCGTCCTCTGCATTAGGGTGGCCAGCCGGGTCCTTTGATTCAATACTGCTACTGTCTCGCTTCATTTCTCCTCTGAAAGATGATAACAGAAAGATTCAATGATCTGATGCAAAATTCAGCTTCTTATGAATGAAATCTATAACTTACCTTTCAAGAATATTTGTATACAAGACCTTTCTGACGAACATTGTTCTTTTTAATCAAACTATCACTGAATCACAATTTTTATTTCTCTAGGAATTATTTTGTAAGCTATTATTGTAATAATGGGCAGAACTAATAAGGCTATTACCTTAAAAATGCAGTATTTATTGGAAAGGATAGCCATTTGCAGAAAAGCCAAATTCTGGCTGTAATTGCAAGGAACTAATTACAAGTATTAAAAAGCATTCAATGGACAAGTCATTACGGAGAGCACAATGACAGTCTAACAAACCCTGAGATAGTTGTGCAAATTCATAGTATGACTACCATCGCTCTTAAAATAACATAGACCGAGAATAAGATTGTACTTATTTAAATGCAAAGAGAACCTTTGTCCTCTAAGGTCTTAAAGAATGATGCAGGAGGACATCTCAGGAAAAATATCCCTAATTAAGGTGAAAAAGCTAGAATTAGGGCTTTTGCTTATAATGTGAACAGACTTTTTGGCAACAAATGGTGGAGATCATTCACTGACCTTCTGTTCATTTCATTTTCTTGATTTTTTTTTACTTTCTCTCTGCAGAAGGTATTCCTTTATACTGGGTATAACCAAACTGGCACTTTGTAGCTAATATTCAGGAAGTGGTTATAATCTTTTGTTGAAGTTAATAATCTTTTTAATGGCTTCAGCTAACACACCGTGTGAATGACTGTGATACCACCAGGAATGAATCTCTCAGGGCAGAAGTACAGTATATAGTTGATAATCTAACTTTTATGATGATACAGTTTTGTGTAGCAATTGGCCACATTTTCTCTGTTTAATGCTCAAGCAGATGAAGGTTATCCAGATTTTCTAAATGAATCTGAAACATCAGCAGTCAGGTTAGCTTCCCAGGTCGTGGTTGATGACGACAAATGATGTCAATATGAGGGTGTGCCATTGAGAGGTGGAACTTGTTAGTTTGTGGGATGTGGTGTGTATTTCAGCAGGGGTTATGCGATTTCAGATGGATGCCTGCTTTGTTTTGAGGCCTTGTGTCAGTGGCAGTGATTTGTTAGCTGTCAGGAGGTGATGTTCCTTGAGAAGGATGCTTTTTACTTGGACATTAGGAACTTCAACGCATTCTAATGCAGGAGGCCACATTTGCTGTGTTGGTCTATTTTATAGTAGCAGCTCTTCTCTTTCAGTCCAAGATCTAGAAGCTTGGATTTTTTTGATAGTGTTTAAGTGGGTAAAGAGTTTTGAAAATTATATCTTGTGCATCAGCAAATTGATTGACTGTGAGAATTAATGCCAACACAGTGTATTTTTCAGTGAGAGACACGAAGAGACTATCCCCCCTCCCTTAATTTTGCTGTTGCCTGTGAGTGTTATTGAAATAAACTGTAGTTCATTTAGCACTGACATCAGTGGATGTAACACATGCTGGACATCAAACTGGGGTAAATAAACTTTGACTGTAAGTGAAAGAACACACACTAAAACTATGCATATTAAGAAAGCTGTGGTAAATCATGATAATATGAAAGCTGGAGAATTATATTGTAAATACCGTGTGGGGCTGAAGGAACACTGCAGTTCAGGTGGCATCAGAGGAGCAGGAAAGTCGACATTTCGAGTCGGGACCCTTCGTCAGGACCTGATGAAGTCCTGAATAAGGATGCAAATCTGAAACGTTGACTTTCCCGCATCTCTGATGCTGCCTGACCTGCAGTGTTCCTCCAGCTCCACAGTGTATTGACTCTGACTCCAGCATGTGCAGTTTTTGCTATCTCTGAATTATAATGTAAACCAAGAAGGCTTTTTGTCCAATTATCTACTTCAAGTCAATACATCAATCAATGTGTTTTCTTTAAAATAATGGATTGGTTAGATTTCCAAGCATTTCATATTAATGCAACATTTAATTTAATATGATTTATCTTCAATTAACAAATATACCTTTTTTGAGACTAAGAATATTGTTAATATTTCGGAGTAGTTTCCTTTATTTTGCACATGTAATTCATACTATGTCTAAAAAGTGCATGCACAGTAATCGATAATTGAAGTTGGTTGCAATGAAATATTTTCAATATGCATATGGGTCAAGTGAACCCTCAGCTCATATTAGCCAAAAATGAATTTTCATCAATGCTAGTCTGGCCTCACTCAAGATCATTAGCCAGATGAGCAAAATCAGTTGACTTGCAGTTGTAGTATAAGAGTTTGAAAGAGTTCATGACTGGAAAAGGAAAACACTTTGCTGATGCAAGGAATCACGTGAGAGAGAGACTTAAGTGAGAAGCACTGTGGCTTCAATAGAGTTAGTTATACATCTGCACAGCTGTATATACTTCCTTCATACATAATAAACTAGCTATTATTCACATCTACTGAAAAACTGGTATTCTCTCTTAGTTACACTGAACAAACACACAACAGTAAAGGAAGCAGTACAAGCATAAAATGTCCTAATATTGTGAGTCATCCTATTATCAATTGGCTGATTTTTGGACTCACAGTGAGGAAGGCCAACATCAAGTGAGGAAGCTGAGTGAATTTACTCTGGCTTTTAACTCAGCCACATTATTACATTAGTAACTCAGCAGGTCTGGCTGCAGCTGTGGAGGCGCAAAAAACGTTAATGCTTCAAATCTACATTAAACATGAAACATTAACTCTGTTTCTTACTCCGTAGATTCTGCTCAACCTGCTAGGTTTCTCCAGCAATTCCCATGTTGTTTCAGATTTCCAGCATCCAACAGTTTTTTTGTTGTAATATGTCATTTACATCCTGACTTCAGATTTCCAGACCAATTTTGTAGCTGTTGAGTCTGATTATGACCCACATCTGAACATTCAAGCCTCACTGTTTAAATTAGTACATGCAAAGGACAGAATAGATCCTTTCTAAGATTGTTAGAAGAGAGATGATCAGCAGAGTTTCTGACCCAATCAGGGACTGAAAAGAGGCAGATGGGCCCCTGAAAAATACTGGCACCGAATGACATATGGGTTTCCTAAACTCATTCCTCACGTTGGTCAGTTTGATTGAGGGAGCAAGACTATCTGCCCTCGAGAAGCAGGAAGCCAATTACACTTAATAGCTTTGTAAAAGATCAGTAAGTCAACCTGCAGTTTCCTAACACAGTTCAATTTCCTGGAAACTGGCTACCAGCAGCAGAACATATAAACTTTAGTTCAAATCTCTTTTGTTCAGTCATCCCCATTGTCGTTTCTCACCCAGCTAATAGACATTGGCATTAAAGGTAGCCTCAGGGCTACCGGAATCATGTCTGAATAATTCCATCCCAGATGTCACTGGCATCTAGCTGAGTTGACTTAGCTGGACCTAAGTCACATCAGGTTCATCCCCCTCTTCTTGTTTCTCCTCCTCCTCTTTTTAGCTCATCCGAACTGCAGTGTGGTCATCACCTTCCCCTTCCTGTGGTACTGATCCTCTCAGTGTACTATGATGTAAGACATATCGTTCATCAATCCCTGCTACTGTGGGCTGAACAGTACTCCACACTTGCCCAGTCTTAACATCACATTTTCAGCAACTCAAGGACTTGTTTAGTGATCGCCCACGTGGCTTCGCTTATAACGTGGCTGGGCTCCAAAAGGAAGATGGGTTTGATTGCTGGAGTCAAATCATCTTACTCCAAGGACATCGCTGCAGGAATTTTTCAGGGTAGTGTCCTAAGCCTAAAAAATGCAATTGTTTCATCGATAACCTTCCCTGTATCATAAGATAACAGTGGGCTGTCCACTGAACAAAGCTCATGAATTCTTAGATATTGAAGCAGGCCGTGTCCATTTCTGAATAACACTCAGAATGGAGCTGATGTGACAAGTTAGGCTGACATCACATAAGTGCTGCCACAAACATCCCCTAAAAGAGTTAATCTAACAATTGTCTTTTCATATTCAATGGCATTACCATCACAGAATTACTCACTACCAACATCCTGGCAATTACCGTTGATCAGAGACTGAACTGGACTGGTCATATAAACGTCGTGGCTTAGTACAGCAGGTCAGAGGCTTGGAATTCTGCTGTGAGTAACTCACCACTTAACTCCCCAAGAGCCTGTCCACTGAAGTAGCTCAAAAAAGCAGCTGGCATGATCAATATTCTATCCACCATATTAAATATGCTCTCACGCCATCATTGGTGCATAATGGCACCAGGGTAAATTATATGCAGGATGCACTGCATAAACTTGCCAAGACCCCTACATCCTTCTGAAGCTATCGTGGCAGGTGAATGGAAACCCCACAACTGGAGGTACCTCTTCCCCTGCCTATCATACGCCACTTAGAAATATATCACCATTCCTTCAAAGTTGCTGGAAACAATCTGAAAACTCTGAACTGTACTGTTGATTCACTAAACAGACAACAGTGAGTCAATAAGTCGACTCCCAACTACCTTCTCCAAGGCATTTAGAAATGGACAATAAATGTTGGCCTTACTCGTAACACACATGTCCCATGAAAGAATAAAAAAGAAATCACAGGTTATAAGCAGCCAGATGCTCAAAGCATAGCCCTTGTCTCCAAGGAATCATCTGCTGACTGAAGTTGGAGATGCGAAGATCTGTGAGAGATTTGACTGGTGCAAAATGAAAGCATCATGACAGTTCCTTCCACAAACATGCAAACATGTGGCGTTCATCTATTACCTGAATATTTATGGAGTGGAATTGCTTTTTGACTGAATGATTCTTGTTGGGTGATCTGAAGGCTCTTTGGCAGTTTTTTATTCATTTGCCATGTGGGCATTGCTGGCAATGTCAGCATTTATTGCCTGCCCCAAATTTCCCTCAAACAGAGTAGTTGTTAGGGTATTTCAGAGGAAAGTTAAGAGTCAACCACATTTTGGCAGCTCTCAAGCCAAACCAGGCGAGGACAACAGATTTCCTTCCATAAAGGACAT